GCGAACCGTGGGTGGTCGACGGGGACACCCTTGGCAAGGATGCAGGGAGACGACTCGGCCGCGGAAACACTTGATTTATGTTTGTTGATTCTAAAAATCATCCGATTCCCACACACCCGCCCTGTTCAGTCGGACCGGTGGTTAATTGACTCTCGTGTACCGGGAACATATGCTACCACTCGTAGTTCCCATGACCAACGGCCCCCCTAATTCATAGGACTAGCGTAACACCGTGTAACTTCACCTGGAATGTCTCACTCTATGTGATTTTTTTTACTTTCGTCGGACTTTCCGGAAATTTCGTATTTGTGTTCAAAGACGTCTTGTCTAAACGTGTTCGCAGATAAGATATTGTTCGAATAATTGATAATAAGTTCGATCGTGATCACGCATCTAACAATTTATCGAGCATACGGCAAAAATTTCTTCGAGGAAATAAACTTTTCTTCTTCGACGAGGAAAGAATTTGTCGTTGTTATATCAGGACAGCAGCGAAAGCAATTAGCAGATAGAGTCCGTTGGTGACATGGTGACGATCGCAGTGACCTGCGCAACCCCGTATTGTTCAAAATCCTACCTTCGAAACGATCATTGTCTTCGCACCCTCCGCCTCAGTCAACGACGGGACAGAAGATAAAAAGCGAAAAGGTCTTCTCGCCCAAGTGGCAACGCCTTCTGCCTTTCCTAATTGATAAAATTGGAGGAAGACTCTCTGCTGAAATTGGATGATCGTTAATGAAAAAGGGGATTATCTTCTAGTTTGTCTGTGCACATCTTTTTCTCTACGCCTAATTTCCAATAAAAAAAATACGTATCATAACGTGTATAAAAATGATATTGAAATCAAGCGAGCGACATCCCTTGTAAGGAATTTATGTAACATAATGTGGCGAAATTTGTATCGAAATCTCTAGGACACCGTATGTATACAATGAAATGCGTGATCCGTTTAAAAGATTTTGCTCTTTTGGTAATTCAACAGAGATGTATCGATGGAGAAGGGGAATCTGTTTGGTACGTGTTGTCTGCTCGATGACTTTATTATAAACTGAACCGAAGTGCGCAATTACGAGGGTGGTGTACGAAGGGAATTTTGGGGTGACGACCCCTCGCAACATCATCAGGAACGATGGGGCGTTCTTCTCTCCCTTCCCCATCCGATTCATGGGTATCTCGTTTTCACTAGGTACAAACGTACGTTTGCTCGTGCATACATACATGACACGCGTACCGCCAAACGATCCACTTACCAGCTCGTCTTTTGCACGGAAACGCGTTCGCGATGGGAAAGGTCAAGGGGGAAGAAAAGGGGAAAAAGTGCGGAAAAGTTAAACGACACGCGACCATGTTTGCGCGTTCTCTTTACGAGTCATTGCTTCATAAATTCGCTCGATTAACTCTTCAGATTCGAAATGTGTTCCTTTATTTTTGTGTCTATTCGGATAAATTTGCTATTAAAATTTGTAACGCATTATTGATAAAAGTTAACGCGTTGATTTCGAGTAGGATACATTTTTTATCTCTAATTTAAGTCGGGTCTCATATCGGGTTGGCTGGGATTAAAGATTGATTCGTAATCCCGGCGAATGCAATTAAAATTTATATTAGAGGGCACAGCTTGCGGATTACGAGTGCCGAGCCATCGCGGCGACTAATTATAAATGACTATTAATTGCGATCAGAGGAAAATCCAGGGTCGAAGCAATGAACGTAAGACCGTGAAGCTGTGAAAAAGGAAGTTGATTACGTCTCCATAAACGGTGATATCCTGTCTAATTAAATATAAAAGAAAAACGATAACTTGTACAAATACAAGCTACATTTTCGTGACATGAATTTTATGCTTGAACGCAAATTAACGATATTGCAAATATTTTTCGGAGGACGATACAGCAGACGTCGCATGTTAGAGAAAGTAGAATGATTTTTTTTGGCATTTAAAGTGTAAGCGATCGGCTAAGACCACGATGAAGCTTCATAAAGGAAAAGCAGACGGCGACACGGCGTTATTGGAATTTCCAAAACCGGTAACCGGTTTTACCACTAGATTGCTCCGCAAGGAGGAAACCATCCAATCGTTCACCGGATGTCCTCCTTGCCTCCTCTCGCTCGTTCTCCCTCTTCTTCTTTCTCATTGTGCCAGCTACGTTGCTTTACTTAAAATCCTGTTCCTCGCTATTCCTTTCTGCTTCGAATCACTGTGCTTCTTCCCCCCTTTTCCTGCGATTTTACGTCAATTTCGTCCCGATTGTCTTCATCTTTCTTTCACCTTTTCCTTTCCTATTCGCGCGGACGAAGGATTACTTTTCTAAGGGGTGCTCGAAATAGAACGCGCTAAAAGCGTAGTTTCGGAACCCCTATACGTAATAGGAAGAATCATGAGGATCGCAGGGAATATATTTTTCTGTACAGTCAACCAATCTAAGTTTTCTCAAAATCGAAAACTTCACTACCTCTTGTAAAATGATGTGTAATTCGGACGTTTGTCTTTTCAGCCAAACGAAGAATTCACTAGACTGAACGAGCCACTGCAGACGGTCGCTACGGGATACTGTCCGACTAATTATTCGGTGGCGCCGACCAGCAACGAAGAGAAGCTGCACCCCGGTAAGTAAAATACGACTCGCAGAAAGTTTCGAATATTCGAAGCAGCTGTTCGATATGTTCATCGAATCTCAAAGTTATTCGTGTCTCGATGACTTTCCGCGAGCGAAATCGAAGGAGAGAAAGGCAGTCCGTTCGGGTCACCATCTATCCCCTCGAGTCGACGATTTTGAAGCTCTTTGATACGATGTTTTGCCCGGGAACATCGAGTGACACGAAGTCTTGGCTGCGTCTTCGTGCAGGCGTACACACGAACACGAAGAAAATACACAGCGAGGTAGAAGGTACAGCACGTGCAGTATATACGCGTACCATGTACAAACGGGGCAAAGAGCGAACCACCCCCCGAAGAGAGCCTGTCACCGGCAGGCAGTCGAGTCGATATCTTTATATAGTCGCATCAAGGATGATATTATTTTCTGTGGCTTTCAGCGCAATTACATTTTAAGATCGCACAAAACTTGATCTAAGGGCTCTCCGAAGATTAATGAGTAGGCCGTGGATGTTTATGCGTTTGCGAAATAATAGAAAGTTCAAAATTAACGAGGCGATACTTTCAACGTGTATGCATAGATTGCAAAAATATGTAATGTCAAATTGAAGTGCGATGTGGTCGACCCAAGAGCAAGAGTATTAACAAATGTAAAAATGAACGCATTCGTTAAATCACTGTCATGGTTCTATGTCAATCGACGCATCAGAAGTAAGAAAGTATCTAAATGTATAAGAACGATATTAAGCACGTCATGTGATATGAGATTAGAGTTTGTAATTAGTGTGATGGTGTAACGGAAACGGAGCCATTGGTCAATTTGTTCTAACGGTATCGGCAGCTTTTCCTTGTCCTTGACCTAGAAATCGAACGGGCCGACCAGAAGCCTCAGGACGAATTCAATAAGCAACGTATTATCGCCGCAAAGAGCCCCATGGGGTAGTCGAAGCCGGTCGTACCCCCATAGGATTCGTAACCACCCTACACCAACGTCTGGGCACAGTGATTGACACTTTATATCTAACATTGGCATGCCGTGGTGTGAACCGCCAGTCAGGATGGACTGCCTCCACCTAACTCAATCACAACCTATAATGCTGCAATTTCTCTATCGTAATCACGTTACGCCCTGCCACCCTTCTCCGTCTACCTTTTCGGCGACGATTCACTGTGAAGAAATATTGAAATGTCGTCACTGAACGAAACTTCTCTTCTTCTTGAAATTCAAATGCTTCCTCTCGCGAAAGAATTCCGAGTTATCAAGTTTTTATTAAAACTAAATAAGAATAAAATTTGCAAATATCGAACATTTCACAGAATCTCTCAGCTTCGAGGAAAAAAATTTCTGCCCTTTTCATGGAACTTTTCCACGACGAAGACAATGAGAGCTGGAGAACAACAAGATTCTTATGGTACGCAGAAAATGAACGTGTTATTGTATCATGTTTCTGGTATCGGAATTTTATCTCGTTATTGACGTCTTCAACGACGGACACTCCGTTTATTATCCACGAGCTATGAGGTTGACTAAATTCGATTCGTCAGACGGGATTGTGACTGCGAACAAAACGAGGTTACTGACAAGTGGCTGCCCGTAGCGAATCTTAGAGGCCCATTAAACGGACCCCAACATAGATTTCTCTCGCATTCTTATGTACATGTTCACGTCGAAGGGGTTGTTTTTGCCACTGATTCATCCCCTGTACTCGTGGCTTTGTTCCTTTCTTGCATCCCTGCCCTCTGGAATTCTATTACGGTCCAGATATCGTGTCGCCTCGTGTCATAATTACCCAAGGATGATTTTATCACTGTTCATCATCTTTGCGCGTTAACGCGTTCGTTTCCATTGATGGAAATAGCCAATTCTTTTGATCTACTATGCTTTAATTTATTGAATCAAGATATTTCTTTACTTTGCATGTAAGCTTTGTTTGTAAATTAATTTAAAAGTAGTTCAAAATTAAATCGGGGATTCTATAATTTTATTAGTGTCTCCTTGTTACTATGATTTAATTTAACAATCGTACTACTGTAATTTCTTAAAATTGAAACTCGTTAGAAAGTGTAACTCTGACGATATATTAATGAAGGTTTCGTGTTATTTCTAACGATCGTGATTCGAACAATGGATATTTAGTGAGATCATGTGCCGCGACATGGGGCTATACTAATTTCGCCTGGGGATAATTATCTCCGAGTAACCATTAATCATTTTGCCGTAAACGTAGATTCGTAGTCCGATAACTAGTTCCTTACTCAAATTATTCTTGAGGTTTAAAACTAAACGCGTTATCAATTTAATTGTGTAACTTTATTTTCACTCTTAAGATAAGATAAAAACCATATGAATTCCAATTACATAATCTATCATAATTTACATTTAATCGGTTAAGTCGTAGACATGAATAAACAAATTTAATTTGTTATTTAACAGGATGACACTTTTTAAGGCGATGTTCTGAAATAACGTGAAATTACTTTCAGAGAATGAAATATACACTGCGCAAGAATACAGGCAAGAGCCATGGCTTCAAGATGGTAAGAAGATTTTATTACGAACAATTTATGTTGTTATTAATAACAATGAGAAAATTGATAAACCAGGGACGAGTACATTTTCTATTGATTTAGGAAGAGTGCTGTCAGCTGCCCGGATAGCTCAGTCGGTAGAGCATCAGACTTTTAATCTGAGGGTCCAGGGTTCGAGTCCCTGTTCGGGCGGATAACTTTTTGCATTTTTTTTCTTCATCATTTATTCGTACTTGATAGCATTTCACAAAGGAGAGAAAGTACAATTCTTTTTATATTGTCAGCAACGTGCAAGGACTCGAATTATAAGAATAAAGTCTGATGCTTTAAAAACGCTTGACTTCTATTCCAACTTCTCGATAGAACAAAAACTGGAAGTTCATCGAGACATTCGCGCATAGTAGCTTGCAAAGTGATATAAAATTCATTTATTCGAGTATAAAACCTCCAATGAACGGTTCGTAAATCTTCCTGGAAGACGATTAGTTACGGCGTTACAATTATTCGGAACATTAATTTTGATTATTTTGATGAACTGTAATATAATGCACGGTAGATGCAATGTAATAATAACGATAACGAGGGGATTTCCAGACGTGGCTCATAGAAAGCGTGCAGCTACCCAGTGAGCGATCGTAGTAAACCATTAATTAAGATTACGATATTTCCTTTCTTCCCATCAATGAATATTTTACTTAATACTTAAAAATATGACCTATTTAATGTAGTTCATTTTTTAGTTAGTATATGAACAGCTTTCAGAGTGTAATATCTTTCTTTTTACGAATGTTATTCCAGGTAGCAGCTGCGAAACGGAGGACAGCGAACAATATGTGCCAGAATTTCATCGTATGTCAAGTTAGTGTACAGAATCGAATACTTCGCGTGCATATTCGAGAGCTTCTCGCGCCAGGTGCACCTAATTACTATGCTTCCAATCGCGTCAAGCAGACGCTCACGAAGGAAGCCAATCTCCTTATAGGCGGAAGTTACACCCAATTTAAGTTAATCCCAATTCGGAAAGAACTTCGATACAGTTTAAGCGAATAGGAAACTACGAGATTGCTTCTCGCGACGCAACGTCATACGAACAATTTTAAGGGATCTTCGATTTCCGAATTTCAATCGCTTTTAATCGTAATTACTGAGAACGTGGTCGATTAAATTCTCCGTTTAAACTTGTCACGATATTAAGAAAACGCTAATTCTCTCTCTTTCCCTCCTTCTCTACTTGATTTATTTGAAAAACATATTAAAAGTCGACTTCTCGTTCATCAAAAAATGAAATTCGTTTCGAACAACAAGCCAAGCAATATCGAAGAAAAAATACAGCGCCATCGCCCAAGGCTAGTGTTTTTAAAACGACAAGAAAGAATCAACAGAAGACTCCCACCGATTATCGATATCGCGTTACACGGGGAAGCACTTTATATTAAGTCTAAAGACTTTTTTCGCCCCTCTTTTTCGAACCTTCATTGATTAACCTCTCGTGCGTTTCATCGAGAATACCCTTCGAAATTTTTTAAGCTACATCCAAGTATCATTATTTCGTTACACACCGAGCAAATGCTCAAAGGGAATAATTGTCGTTAATCGAGAGAGTAATAATACTTTTCGTACGAATTAATTCGCGGCTCGATTCATCCAACATTTACGCGCTTTGTAACATACGGGATCGCGACGGGAAATCAAATTTACTCTTCACCTGTTAATTTTATTCGTTGTTCGATGGATACGAGGAGCGATCGGCTGGTTTGTACACGTAATACGTAAGCAAACATTTAGAGCGAACCCTGCTTCAAGGTAAACACGCTCAACGGTGTAGCCAGATTTGCCAATAAACTTTTATTCGAGACATTGTTTACCGGATGTTGCTACGCTCGAAATATTAATGTAACTTTATAAAAAAACGTGTAACTTTTTTCGTTATATCGAGCAAATAGAAAACAGAGTTCATGAAGTCGAGCGAAACGATTCGTTGGCTACGAACTATTGTTTCGAAATAGTATCGTTTCAAATATTCATTTTTCGACGAATTTTACATGTTATATACTTTTCAAGACACTTGTTTAAATAACCGTGTACTGGTTACTAGAAGTGTATTATATGCTTAAAGCGAACAAAAATTTGTTCGCAAACGCAAACGAAAGTGCAGAGGATATAATTTTTGGAAGTTTAGCGAACTACGCGAAATCCGCAGGATTCTTTCGCCGGTCGTCGAGTCGGTGGTTCTCCCGTAGCAAGTAAACTTCCGATGTTTGCAAATACAATGATTGCCGGAGGCCTCTGACTTATGCTTCCCACGGCCAGAGTCTGTTTGATTTATCGAGGGCGCACCCTCGGCCGCGCAAAATCGTCTACGGCCCCATTAGAACCCGAGCCCACCCCCACGTGCCGTTGCAACGATGCGCCTTCGCTTCCGCCACGACACGCGCCCTTATGTACCCCCTCGCCCTCGTCGTTTTTCCTCCAAGAAATCGTTCGATCCTCGAGGGTTACTCGATCGTTCCGATCATTCGTTCGACCGTACATCCTCTAACTTTCTACACAATGTACCAAGTCATTTGCATTCTTTTCCAAACTTTTCGATCGCGAGGGAAAGAGAGAGCCGTGTTTATCGGTCAATGTTTCGTATAAAGTTTAGCAACGGATGTTTTTTTGACCCCATTCCGTTTTTATCTCTGAATCCTGAATTCGCGCTTTTGGAAGAAAAGCAGTACGTTTCTTTTTCCGCAGATGTCAAGCAGGAGTCTTCGAACTGTAAACGAATCAACGACGTCAATTACTCTCAATATTCTCAGAACAATACCTTCCTCGATCTCGAAGCAGACACTCGCACAAACTGTTTTGGGTAAGTGAACGATTTGCGGAGGACGCGTGACAGGATTACTCACTTTCAACTTATTCAACGCAGAAGCAAACTGAGTTCGCGAACGAGCGAAGGGACGAAGAATATTGCTGTAAAGGAAGAACCAGTGGACAGAGGATACGGAGAGCCAATTCCCGTCACAAGTATACCCACGTCGACTGGCCAGGATACTCAAAACGGTAAGTAAATCGATCATTCTCAAAGGGTAATTAGCGATAGTCCAATATAGCGTTCTGCGGACAATGCTTTTATAGAGCAGTCTCGTTCGATTTGTAACGACAAATCGGATGATTCCCTCTTCTTCGACTTACAGCGTGACAAATCTCTCGACAATGGATCCACGTGGCTCGCTGCTACCCCATAGATCCCATAAATAACTGGAGCACGAGGGTGGTACTCTATGCTTCATCCATTAATCGAGCTCTAGCGCGAATTCTCCTTCCGGTTTCGTTTCTTAGAAACGCTGTCCTAAAATTCAGCGTACTTGATTATCGGTTTCTTCCATGAATCATGTTCTGAACAACGAGTCGTTGAATAAATTCTTGGGCGAAGTTTCAACGAAAAATTTCAGATAACGTTCGTTGTCGTTACCGAGCATTCGCTCACGCATGACTAAGTACACGTAAGTGAATAATTGAAGAATGCTTTCAACTCGAAAGCGTTTCATAGGATCCAACGAAAGCTGCTAAACGAAGGAAACAGCATAGAATTCTCTCCCCGGGGAGCTTGCGAGTCGACGAGCTCTTTCGCGAACGAAGAACATTGCTCAAAATTCCACCTTATCAGACATCATTTTCAAACAGGTCGTACCGTAGGGATAATATATTATCGATAATCGCGATGATATTACAATGAAAAGCGTTTCAAATTTTCGGTGTCGTAAATTGGAAAGATTGAGCCATCGTTTCGGAAGATTACAGTCATTACCTAATAGAGTTCGATCTAGTTTTAAAAAGGTAGAGCCGACGAAGAGTTTGCAAGCTCATGCTTCGTAATCCGACCGATTAGCCCTGCTTTATTCACGCACGTACACCAAAACGAATCCTTTAGGAACTATGTTGGTATATTTGTTGCCCGACACCAACCTCGTATACCCATTTACTTCCAAGTCACCCGGGAATTATGCTTCTACTTCTCTTCGGGTAATTCTCCCTACCATTAAGCCGTTTCAATTATTTACACGCAGTTTAGATTAATAATAGGATCATACCTATCGATACCTTTCAACGCATATGGTCTGATGCGATACAACTTTCTGTTTTACCGAGTTCTCTTACGCTCAAAATTTTACTTTACCTTTTAAAATATATCTTCCACTAACCTCGTTTCGCGAACGTCGCTTCAGGAAGTGTATAACGCGTCCGTCCAACCAGTTTAAATCGGTGAACTGACGATCACTGTATCGAGTAGAATAGTAATAACTTGTTAACGGGCACAGATTGGTCACCATCCCCCTAATTAATACGAACACGAGGATCAACGAGGATTAGAGGCGGTCAAGTTCCATTCGCTATCTACGGTTCCTCCGTATTATACGCTTGCGTCGAAGTGAAATTTGTCAACGCGTTTGTGCAAACAATCTTTTATCTTCGAATATACTTCTCATACATTATTTGTATAAATTACATACACGTACATGCAGAGAGTTAATTCTAAAATACAATCCCATCAATGAGTTTGAGAAAAATGATGACATTCCAACAACCGAACGAATGATTTATCGTAATTCGATTCGACGTTCGGTGCAGTATTTCTCGTGCAGCATGAATTCCCAGAAACAGAAGAAGAGCGTTTCACCGGCATCAGGTGGATGGAAAATGGAGCTTGCATTATTAAACAGCCTCTACTCCGGAATTCGGGGGATCAGAGAGACAGAGATAGCGGGATAAAGAGAGGCGCACAGAAGAGAAAAGGAGAAAGAGAAGCGTAGGAGGAACAAGGTAGACTCGTAAACCGTAGGAAGAGCGAGAAAGACGAAAGAACGTAGCTTCTCGTCTGAGAGTGGGCGAGAGCGAAGGCTGTCCTCTTTTCCGTGCAACCCTTCTGCGTACCGCCCCTGACCAGTCCCTGCTTCAACCCTTTTCCTGGTCGCTACATCGCCACCCGGTTTCATCAGCTCGCGATTAATTTTAATCTAAAACTACCCGCAAAGCCTCCTGGCCCCGCTTGCACGTTGAGGTCGACTCCCGTTCACCCCGCCGCAGGAGAGAGTGCCAGATTGGCCCGTAGCTTTCGTCCCACCCTACCTAATTCCTGCCTGTCTCGTCTACGCGAGAGATCGGGTTCCGACCAACGATTGCCAACCAACCCGCTAAAGCTAACTTGCCGCCACAATTAACTATACGCAACCCTCCTCTTCTTCATTTTCATCGATAACCTAGGCTCTCTTAGTCGTCTTCGATAACTGAAATTTTACTGCCTTAGGATCCTAAGCGTGGTATATTATTAAAAAGATCTTCTTTAATTACTTTTCGATCCGTTTACGGTTGTACGAAACGATGATGTCCAATGCAAGGTCCTGAGGGACCAGTTACACCGTTGTATATTTCTTTCCTCTTTCACAAAGTTGGCTCGTTTTAATCGAGACAACGCGAGGACGGACGCAACTGGAGACTCGTTCCGGCTCGGTATCCACGCAGGCTTCTCAATTTTTCAATATTCCCCGTACACGACTTGGAACGTAACCGGATTACGGTTCGAGAATAGCTTTTTCGGCTCGAGGGAGCACGGCATCGTTGGGATGTTGACGGTGCTGCTGCTCCCCGAGAGGAGAGCACCCGATTAATATACATATCGCGCGAGCTGTACGCGGTATTTCCAGGCGGTGCTGCTATCCGCGAGCTCCGCCGAGCCGGCAACCCCGTGGGCTTTGAATATCAACCAATTTCCTGCCGATGTTTGTGTGACGAGCACTTCACCGGCAACCGTGCGTGAGTGCAATCGCTAATACCTTGCCTTTCGTCCTTTTTTCATGGTTCTTCTTTTCCGCGATTCTCTGGTATCTTTCTTACTCCGTTCGTAACACTGAACGTCTATTAGTCAGAGTAGAATACGATATTTCGTCGATGGACGGTTTAAAGTTGCCATCCGCTGTTCCGCTATTGGTAGGGAAAAATTCGAGGCGATCCCGAAAATTCTTGTATTTGTGCAGATAATAGTCTGATATATCAGCAACAACCATACGGAAACGGAACGAGAAACAGCAGGGGGTCACCGCCGCCCAGTCGACCAGCCAGCACCTCGCCCGCAGCATCTCAGTGGCAGTCGACGGTCTCTGCTTCCACCGACGCTTTCTTCCCGCGACAGGAAAACTGGAACTCGGACGTGTACGGGAAAAGAAGCGTGACCCCCACGTGGACAGAGCTAGGGGTTCAATTGGACGCGAGGAATTCTTCGTGGGAGAGACAGAGCAATTGCTACCAGAAGAAAGGCTCCCCCAGCTCTTGGAACGCGGACTATGCCGGCAAGAGGCCTTCCTCGACGACCGGAGTGTCGCCTTGGAGCGAGATGACCGTCGGTTATCAGCAACAACGACGCGGATCTCTTCAGCTGTGGCAGTTTTTAGTTACCTTGTTGGACGATCCTACGAACGCACCCTGCATCGCGTGGACTGGTCGCGGAATGGAGTTCAAGCTCATCGAACCTGAAGAGGTAAAGCATCGCGTTAAACGAATCTGGATAAAGTAACTTTTAATCGTTCGTTGTAGGTGGCTCGTAGATGGGGCGTACAAAAGAATCGACCAGCGATGAACTACGACAAGCTGAGCAGATCGCTGAGATATTATTACGAGAAGGGAATAATGCAGAAGGTGGCTGGCGAAAGATACGTTTACAAATTCGTCTGCGACCCAGATGCATTGTTCAATATGGCGTACGGTTCCGGAGCGTCGTCGAATCTTCCTGGAGAAATACAGAACGGAGTTCGAGGGCAGTCGATATCCAGCAAAATATCGACGACGAATGACGTCTCAGATTTGGGGAAACATCCCACGACCGGATACGGGGACGCTGTTCTTGCCATGTATTCGAATACCGCGGCAGGTCTGTGGACGCTCGTTTTAACGTTACAAACAATCAAGCTATTAACGTTCAACCATACAACGATATCTAAAATTGCAGTGTACGGGTCGTCCAGTTTGCACCACCTGCATCAGTACCTCGGCGGCAACGACGGTTTCAAGACACCGTCGAACAGATATCATCCCCATTACTCGCACGAGTACAACAACAGCCACCATCATCCACCAACGAGCTACGCAGAAACCTTTCTAAACTACGGTCGCTTATCGTCTCACGATACTTCCAGCGAATCCAGAAACCAAGAACTGCCGAGAATACCGTATTCTCAGGAAACGACGGATGGTACCGGCAGAGAACGAGAGGCGTCATCGATTTTATACGACGGCGCGCAGAGAACGCAATTACCGACTGCGCCTGGTTTATCTCAGCCAACCTTGTTGGACGCTACCACCACCAGCTCGAAGATAGAGCAAAGTTCGTATGCTTGCCTCGGTGTTGGGAGCTGCGTCTGCTGAATTTCTGTTACCGGAAGATGGGAACACGTCGCTTCTTAACTGATACTCGAATGGGTGATCGCGTTTATCCAGTCACGATTATACTGGCGCTACCGTTTGAAGGTTAAAGAATTTCTCTAGTCGTAGATTGAACTTTCCGCGCGTACACGTTGAACGCGTACCGACTGGAGTGAAACGCGTACAAGTATTGGAACGTGTGGTTCAATGTCGAGGCACGCGTTCGTCGATGATCGCTTGAAAGCCGAAGTTTACATTGGTAGAGTAAATGGCAGATTATACTATACTGGCAGGATAAATCTGTTTATTCTACTTGTGTAAATAATTGAACTGGCGAGCGATAGATTATCGAAGATAGCGATTGGTAGAGTGGGATAGCACTCGTGATAAAGTAACTTTATCATTAGCTATGATCCCAACGTAAAGAATATCATGCCAGAGTATCATGACGGTAATATACTCTAATTAGATCAAGGAGAAGCGGTTCTATGCTCTGCCCATCTCTTCCGGCGATGATCGACGAACGCAATGGACAAGATGCGAATTCGCGCGTTCCGTAAAACCCTGTAAATAAGCGAAAAGAAAATGCGTATGATCTACCGTGTCGACTAAAAAGTCTCGTAGTCCGTGAGATCTAATCGCTCGTGATCCGAATAGTTCATTGAAACGCTGTAACTTCTGTAAATATCGAATAAATCACTCTATTGAAAGAATTTCGGCGATGAACGGTGTATACAAAATGTCATATTTGATGCCCAACTATCGTCGCGTCACTACCAGATATATCTCGTTATGTCACCGATTACATACTCGACGAAAGTGAATTCTTGCGATATCTTGTTATAGAGGAAACAAAAACGTGAGCCGTGTGCGTCGCGCGATCTACGAACACGAATTAACGCCAGCGATTATGCGAGCTTGACCTAGACACATAATGCGGCCTGCGAAGCGTGTGGCTTTCCTCGTGTCGTAGATCCTTGTTTCGCGAACTCGTCGGTGACGTAAGGCCAAGAAGACCACGGACTGAGGTCGGCTGCGTATTTCGGGCTGTGACACATAGCAGATATGTTTATATCGACCCCTCTCTTTTCCATCGATTTCCAACTCGCCTACCCGTCCTTCTTTTACGCACATTGAGCGTCGTAGTGTGCCGAGAATCGGTGACTCGAGCCGGGTTCCGGTGAATTCGCCACTGTCAGTCGAGCGATCAGAACAGAAGAATTGAAAGTATTCGATTGTCTCGTTCGAAACTCGTTGACAGCCTACGATTCTGAAGTAAAAACGAGTTCAGAAGCATTCTGGCATTTGTACTATCGAACGTACGATAAAAAACCGACTGTTGCGCCTAAAGCTCTGGTAAGTACTTGTAAAATGTGTTTGCAACATTGTCTACACTTTGATCTATGCTACTTCGTGTTTCAAAGCATGTACCATTTTGATCTCCAGCACTTAGTGGCTGTCAAATATTTCGCTTGTTGTATCGTCTGGCCGTATCGATCCTTTCGCATAACTTCCATAATCCAGAGACGACGTAAACGGTAACACTGACACGCCAACGTCGCGTTCTGATCCGCCTATGTTTTACCTCCTGGTGATAGGCTATTCCGTTTAATCGATCCTTCAAATTCTCCTCGTAACTTGCTTCTATGTTCGAACTTCTTTCGAGCCCTTCTTTTAGCCATGGGGAAAAGCAAATCCTCCGAACCGGAAGAATCTGCGATGGGATTTAAGGACAAGCAGAAGGCTCTGGACACGTTGAAAGCTCTGGATGGTCGGGACGTGAGTTACCAGTACCACGTGATTACGAGTTTCGTGGCCCGCGCGAAACGGACCCAACAGATCACGAAGGACGAGGAGAAGGTGGCCAATCTTCGGGAGGCTGCGAAAGTGTTCGAGGATTGGCTAATCGATTACAAGCAGAACAATCGGGGTAAAGAGAATCTTGCCTACCTGCCGCTAGAGACCGTGAAAAGCTACAAAATCCTTGCAAAGAAATACGATGTCCTGGAGGAAGATTTCTACAAGTAACTATTAATCAAAGTTGTAACCGTGTGTCCCCTTTGATTTATCGTTTACCCTATTTTTCAGTGCGTACAAGAAAGAGAAGGGAGACTACAAAGGCCTGCGAACCGTCAAAACCCCACGCGGGGACACTACGTGGGACATCGAAAGGAATCGAAGATTGAAGGAGATCATCGATAAGATTAAACAGGACCACGTGCAGTGGTTCGAGACGGACGTGGGTGACTTCCGAGGATTCCCAACCAAGGAGCACACCCAGTGTATCATGTTGGGCTACAGTCCTGATCCCGCCAAGCTGAAGAAGCTCGCGCCTCAGGTGGAAGAAAAGTTTGGGACTGAAAACACCGAGGACATGGAGGTGGATCAAGAATCGAAAGACAAAGGTACCAAGAGGAGACACGACAGCTCATCCAGCAGCGACAGCGAAAACGGCGAACCGGAGACGAAAGCGTTGAAGCGATCAGCTGACGAGGACAAACGCGAAAAAGAAGAAAATAGTCTCGGTTTCAAAGACAAGGAGAAAGCTCTGCAAAGCATCAAGTCGCTGGAAGGCAGGGACGTGAGTTATCAGTATCACGCGATCAATGGGCTGGTGAAAAGGGCCGAGAGAGTGATATCGTGCACAAAGGACGAGCAAAAGATCAAGAACATGAGAGAGGCCGTCGAAGTGTTCGAGAATTGGATCACGAATTACAACGTGAATGGCCGGGCCAAAGAAAACTTCAATTACCTGCCCATCGACCTGGTCCGATCTTTCAAACCGCTGGCGGAGAGGTACAAGATCGAGGATAATGGATTTCTCAAGTAAGTCTATCGCGGTTCGAGCACGTTTCGATCTTTGTAAACGATTAATCAAAATCATCTGTTCGTTCCGTTTCGCAGAGCATACGAAGAGGTGGACGGAGACTACAAGCAGCTCAGAGACGTTCAGGTTCCGGACTCGAACGTAACATGGGACGTAGAAAGAAATAAGTCCTTAAAAAATTTGGTGGATCGCATCAAGGAGGAAAATATTCAGTGGTTCGAAACCGACGAAGAACTTCGCGGTTTGCCCAGTAAGGAACATACCCAATGCATAATGTGGGCTTTCAGTCACGACGTCGCCAAACTGAAGAAGCTTTTACCTACATTGGAGGAGAAATTGAAGTCATAATTTCACCTACAGTGCAAACTATTCGACCGTGTACGTTACACAGCCTGTATATTTAAGTTTATTACTATGTATGTACAAAAGCATTTGATTATCTTTAATAAACATAAATTATTTTCCAACGTTTACGTAATATAATTTCCACAAATCGAGCGAATTTATCGTGTACGTGGCGACATCTAGCCACTGGGCGGGAACCGCGAGGCGGAGCACAGCGCGACCGCCATCTTTGTTTTCGTCGTGTACGGGTATTTCAAGATGGCGCGAGCTGTCAAAGTTTTTTGACCGCGGCACGCTCAATCGATAGTTTTTATTGCCGCTGTACGGCTCGCGAGGGTGGGTGAGTCTCGAGTCCGGTTTTGAGGTTAGGGTTAGTGACTCGGTGACACTGGAAACGGCGGTTGCGGGTTCTCGTGCGTGCGCCGCGATAGCGGAAAAGACAGAATCGTCTCACCCTTTCGATCGAGTCGAACGCCCGTGCGGTCCACGGACATCGCGTTAGCTTCGAGATCGCGAGGAATTTCGTGCAGCGATAATACGTTTACGGGAAAACGGTATTAGACCCTCGCGAGCGATTTGTTTACGCTGTATGCATCAGTCAAGTCTCGTGGAACAAGGGAATCCACGTACTTTGGGCCGTCTATAAATAGCCGTCACTTCCACCGAGGTTCGTAGACCTCCGAGTTCTTCGAGACGAGATCGCGCGAGCGGTCGACGACGGTTCGAGTGCCGAGTGCACGTCCCTCGAGATCGATTAATGGGAGATCGCGATGCAACACGTGACTTAACGATCGACCCGTGCCAGTACATCGTACGCCGTAAGCGTTTCACACCAGTGGACAGACTATTATCTCTCAGGAACGGCTTTGTCGGTGATTCGAGAACCAGAATCGCTTCCTGGAAAAGCGTGGCCGGGGCAGCCGAAGAAATCCGAGATGCGAGCGTGACAGCGTAAAAGAGGAGGGTCGTATCTTCGAGGGAACCGAACGCGAAAGAAAGATGGACACGAAGCAGCCGGATAGTGCGCCGAGAGTTCATTACAATGGATTAACAGAGAAATAAAGTGAAGATGTCACAAACCGCGGATGCTGAAAGTGAAGCAGGCTCCATCTGCGACGAGGAACGCGTCAGGAAGCTGTTCCAAGCATGCGACGGCGACGGAGATGGTTATATCGACAGGTGAGTCCGATCAATTTGCATATTAATTACGCTCTTTACCTTTAGCTCTTAATCCGATCAACTGGGACCACGGAGACTTCGAAATTACCAGCTATGCTCGCGCGTCTCTTACCGTATTACGTTAATGTTTCAATCTGTTTCTCTACAAATTTTATTCTCTCCCTCGTTGATTAAATAACGTTTCGTCGTTTAAAGAACTCTTATATCGCGTGATCACAAAATACTTACTCGAATAGTAATGATAAACTTTGACACAGTTAAAAAATTGGTACAAACGAAGGGATTCGGTGGCGCGCAAAACAAAGAGGAAAAGTTAACCGGTAACGGAATCGCGGCACGCACGCGTTTCAATTATTAGCTCGATTAATTAGCCAGTTTGAATGCGAGTCGCGCGACGAATTAAACCAGGAACGTGTTCTGTTTTTCCACTACCTTCGGATGAATAAACTCGGAAAGATAATGCGACTACGGGACGCGCACGCGACGCAGCTACGGTGTTTTTTCTTTCTTTGTCATTAAACGCATAACCGTTTCCCCGATATATTCAACCGTTTTCCTGTTTCTCTCTGGTTCTCCGTGCCTCTATTCTTCGAACCAGTGGCTGGGTGTCGTTGCTCCCGCTGCGACCTACCAGCGTATTCAGTGCTTTTTAACGAAAATTAGCCCGTCAATTCCTCGCTCGGATCCCGAAGCTGCTGCCACCCCGCGTTTAGCATTCTTCTACGCCGGAAGCGAGCGAGTTTGTCGCGCGTCAAAGCGCAGATCCGTGCGCGTTTCGCGACACAAGGACAGTCTATGTTCTCGCGTTAGACGAGAGTTTCTTTCTGATATGTAATTGCATCTCTACTATGAAACGAGAATCCGTTATTAGTTTCGAATTGGCACGAGAGAACTCTTTAAAATCCATCGTAACAATTTATTACTGTAACGTTTTCCATTATGTTCGGAAATTGCATATTCGCTAATGGACATAAGTAGCAAGTTGAAACGCCCCATTTCAACGAAGAATAGTTTGCACGAAGAATATCGAACGAAACTTCGGCTTTTACGTAGCAAGCGTTAATTTGCGAAACTTTTATGCGAAGTAGTCGGAACAGACCGTCTACGTCTCGAACTCGGTAATTTGAAAGGCCACGATTGAATGCGGTAAATGGCGCGAAACACGAGATACGATTCATTTCGATCGTTATCGCGTAAACGGTCCGTAATGCAAACAACTCTCGGCCAATTAAATCGTTCGTCTCAAAGATGATATTCGAACGTTCTAGGGCAATTTCCGTTGTGTGCACAGACAGCATCGTTTCTGTACGTCGATAATAAAGGCTTTCTATGATTCGAGGGACTCCAGATGAAAATAAAAGAAGAACGGAAAGGGGAGAAGAAGAAAGAAAACGTGGAACGTTTTCGCGTTTCCCTGTGTTGTAAAACTCGCCATTCCAGAACTACCCTCTGGAAAGATCGTTCTCCTTCTCGAACAGCTTCTCACCCTTCGACTTGTACTACTTCTAAATGCTCACCCCGTAACGTTTCTCTCCCCTTGTCTTACTTCGCGATTACCGCATCCCCTTTTCGTCCTGATATATCGTAGAAATAGGCAATAGGAATACGAATTCCTTTCGCGAATCGATAACTCGCAAAATTATACGCAGAATCGAGTTGGCAAAAATATTACACGACACGGGCTTGCGAAATCATACGAGTAGAATATAGACGCGGTTGGGATGAAAAATGACTAGAACATCTTCCGTGGTAGTTAAACGCGGGAAAATAAACGGGTATAAACGGGGGAGGAGCCGGGTAACGACTGCCATTAGTCGAAATTCAGAAGAGCAAAATTTCCTTTTGCTTTTCAAGGTTCATTATTGTCCGTTCTCGGCAGCCTCGTTAACCTTAGCCTGGTCGAGATTCGCGTGTCCCGAACCCCGTCGTACGTCTCGTTGGCTTCGTAAGCTTCCGTATCTTCGAGCACACGGTCCTTGCCACCCTTTTCGAAACTCGTGCATTACTTCGCGTGCATCCAACCGGATGCAAGCTCCCGAGATTGCGAACGAAACCGAACCCTCGAGTGCATACTTACGCAACTTCCCTCTGCGTCTTGCTACTCCTTCTTCTTCTTTTTTTTTACCTAGTTCTTTCTTTGTATCTTACCCTTTGTCTCCCAACTTCGTTCCCCTTGTTCTATCAATTATCCTTTTCTTTCGCAATCTCCGCTTCTATTACCTCGTTTCTCTTTCCTCGCTCGACTTTCTTCTTCTGTACCTTCGTTTTACTTTTCCTGTCCTTTCTACACTTTTTCATCTTTCGCCATTAATTCCCTTTGTTCTTTGTTCTTCGATCGCATCACTCTCCGTTCATCTCGTCGACGCGTTCCCTTTATTTTCATCTTTTTGTTTCTGTTCGTCCGCTGTCCTCGAGTGGCTCATCGTCGTACCACTAATCGTCCTTTACGTTCGTCATTATTTTACGTCCTTAGGGCTCTTTGTACCTCGCCAATAATTCTCTCTATCTGTTCACTTTTTCACTTTCTCCCTTGTTTTCCCTCTCGCGATTACTTGCTCTCTTCCCGTCTCTTACCTCCACCAATTTACCCTTACCTTGGCTCTGTTTCGCTCGTCTACCTTCTCTCCGGTTCCCTTTGGACCGCGTGCGATGGTTACGAAGGCAGTTTCGCGTAAATACCCTCCTGTTCGCTTTGCCAGCGCACGTAGTCGAAACTAAGATCAAACGATCAGTGGCGTCTGCTCTGCAAGGGGTAAATCTCGTTACCGAAAAATCAAGTTGTCTCGTTTGAATAGAGTCACCCATGTTTTTAATTGTTTCAGATCCATCGATACGAATGTTCGCGATACTACAAATTAATAACGAAGGAGCGCAAATATATAAAAATTCGCGAACGAAGAATTTCGAAAGGGTCGTCGAGTAGAAGGTTTACGAGTCGCGATTGGCAAACGTGGCCCTAGAATGCCCGAAGTGTCTACGATACCCTAGGGTTGCGCGAAGGGTGATCGCGTTTTATGGCAAGTGAGTCACTCCTCCATCGATCCCTCTCTTTCGTTTTGCCGTCACGATTATTCCGGCGTCCTCCACGGAGTCGGCTACGTTCGCAAATCCCTTCGCCATCATCTTAATAAAATCACGCGGCTGATTTCGCGAATTCGCGTCGTCTACAAATATTTTCCGAGTACGAGAAAACGGCCTGCGAACGACTCGTAAAATTTGTTCGCGTCGAACGACGTAAAAATACGACTTTCTACGATTCGAACGCGGCTCTGTCGAGGCTTAGAACGCCGCTATCGAAGAGATAATTAAGCACCAGATGGTATCGCTGAAGATGATTTACGAAGTCTAAGATCAATGATAGATATTCTATGCGAACGATCCTTCCGTTATCTAACGTTTTTCGAGCCAGTCCGGCGTTCAACGTCCAACGTGAACCTGGACCTTGAAAAACCCTGGCCTTTTCGTTACTATAATTTAAAGATCTCCTCGACCCTTGACACTCGATTAACCGCGAGGTACCTGCACGGATTCTTGTGGCCTGTACAGGCCGTTTGTCCGTTACCTCACCTGCAGGGTTATTCTTGACCTGCCCGAACCTGTGCACGCAACGTGCCATGCAAACGCACGTACTCGAGAAATCTTACCTCCGATTTCGTTCGAATTCTGCTTTGGCGTTTTACGATAATTAGCTCGTGCAGGAAGAATTTCTTAAAAGAGACACGGTAACGCGGGCGCGTATCTGAAAAATTCCAAAGTAGTCGAGTCAACAGGTCCTCGATGTCTCCGATAAACGTTTCGAAGTTCTCGAAGCTGGAGTTGAAACTGGTACGTCGGTCGGTGAAAAATCTGTTAGGACAATCGTGAAATCGTCAGAGCGTAGAACGAGTATCGTTTCGCGTGGTTAACGATCGAGAGATCGATCGGTTCGTCGACGAGCCGACAA